ACGTTTGCATCACCACACCCTCAATGCTTCCTTTTCTGAGACTGAGTCTCCTCAAGCAGATCAGCCTGACCTTGAACCCAAGCTCTTCCTGCTCTACCTCCACCATAACTGGTCAAGACAGTCCAAGAACCACAGAGCTCCCAAAACAAACAATGCCACTGGCAACAGCTGGGAGATTTCTCTCCTACTCTAGACGTTAAGAAACTCAGGGAGCCCACCAAAATCCTAGCAAAATTCTTCAAAGACCTTGAAAGAACGGTACTCAACCTCATTTGGAAAAGCAAAAAAACCCAGGATAGCCAAAACAATCCTATGCAATAAAGAACTTGTGGAGGTATCACAATCCCTGACTTCAAACTCTACTATAGAACTACAGTACTGAAAACAGCCTAGTATTGGCAGAAGAACAGACAGGAGGACCAATGGAACCGAATAGAAGACCTGGATATCAATCCACACATCTTCAAACACCTGATCTTTGATAAAGAAGCAAAAAATATCAAACGGAAAAAATAAAGCATATTTAACAAGTGGTACTGGCATAACTGGATATCAACATGTAGAAGAATGAAAATAGACCCATATCTACCACCATGCACAAAACTCGTCCAAATGGATCAAAGACCTCAATATAAAGCCAGCCACATTGAACCTTAGAGAAGAGAAAGTGGGAAGTACACTTGAACGCATTGGCACAGGGAACCACTCCCTAAATAGAACCCCAGCAGCACAGACACTGAGAGAAACAATTAATAAATGGGACCTCCTGAAACGGAAGTTTCTGTAAAGCAAAGGACACGGTCAACAAGACAAAACGACAGCAGACAGAATGGGAAAAGATCTTCACTAACCCCACATCAGACAGAGGTCTGATCTCCAAAATATACAAAGAACTCAAGAAATTGGGACACCAAAAGATCACATAATCCAATAAAAAAATGGAGTACAGACCTAAACAGAGAACTCTCTACAGAGGAATCTAAAATGGCTGAAAGACACTTAAGGAAATGCTCAACATCCTTAGTCATCAGAGAAATGCAAATCAAAACAACTCTAAGATTCCATCTTACACCTGTAAGAATGGCCAAGATCAAAAACATTGATGACAACTTATGCTGGAGAGGTTGTGGGGTAAAGGGAACACTTCTGCACTGCTGATGGGAATGCAAGCTGGTACAATCCCTTTGAATGTCACTGTGGCGATTTCTCAGAAAATTAGGAAACAACCTTCCTCAAGACCCAGTAATACCACTTTTGGGTATATATTCAAAGGATGCTCAATTGTGCCACAAGGACACGTGCTCAACTATGTTCACAGCAGCTTTGTTTGTCATAGCCAGAACCTGGAAACAACCTAAATGCCCCTCGATCGAAGAATGGATAAGGAAAATGTGGTACATTTACACAATTGAGTACTACACAGCAGAAAAAATAACGACAGCTTGAATTTTGCAGGAAAATGGATGGAACTAGAAAACATTATTTTGAGGTAACCCAGACACAGAAAAACAATTATCACATGTACTCACTCATAGGTGGTTTTTAAGCATAAAGCAAAGAAAGCCAGCCTACAAACCACAATCCCAGAACAGCAATATGGACACTAAGAAAGACTTACATAGATATAAACTACATGGGAAGTAGAAAGAATAAAAAGACAAGATCTCCTGAGTAAATTGGGAGTACGGGGACTTTGGGGGAAGATTCAGGGAGGGAGGGGAGAGCCAGGGAGGGGAGCAGAGAAAAATGTAGAGCTCAATAAATATTAATAAAATTAAAACAAAAAACAAAAATCCCTCATGCAGGCACTCTACCACTGAGTTGCCTCAGTTAGATGGAAGTACTATCTGTGATGGCAACAAAACGAAGAGCAAGCTTTAAAAGAGTGTACACGTGCCGGGCGATGGTGGTGCACGCCTTTAATCCCAGCACTCAGGAGGCAGAGGCAGGCGGATCTCTGTGAGTTCGAGACCAGCCTGGTCTACAGAGCTAGTTCCAGGACAGGCTCCAAAGCCACAGAGATACCCTGTCTCGGAAAACCAAAAAAAAAAAAAAAAAAAAAAAAAAAAAAAAAAAAAAGTGTACATGTGTTGATATACCTCTAATTTCTGGCCAAAACTTTTGGATCCACATAAACAGTATGGTAAGCTTTGGGACAGGAAAGAGTTAAGTCTGAGAATAGAGAGCAAAGGCTGGGAGTGTAAATCAGCAAATAGTGTTTGCCTAGGGTGTTTTGAGGCTCCAGCTTCAACCTCTAGCATCATAAAGAAAAAGACCAAGCACAAACAAAAGAGAGAACATAAAGGGAGTGGCAGGTGTGTAGGACAAAGAAGAGAGGGAAGGGCCAAGAGAGCAATAGTGAAAGATTTTCTCCTCCATTCTCATAGTCATGCCTACAACCCAGCAAGCATCAATACAGCAGAGATGAGATTTGTCTTTACTGTGTATGAGAAGGTAGGAAAGGCATGTCACCAGAGATCTGAAGGCTCTAAGAGCTAGTTCCAGGACAGACTTCACATATGAATAGTGATATTTTTCTTCCCAGATAGAGCCTGGACTAAAATCGCAACAATTCTTGCTTCTTCCTGCCAAAGATCCCAGTGTTCACTACCTCATTAACTACCCCTCTTCCACAGGTGAACCGCTTATCGTCACTTGAGGCAATTTCCTGTTAGCGTTTCTTGAAACTCTTGGGAACACTGGACTGCTTGGATTACGAATTGGCACATTTTAGCCCATTTCATTTACTGCAGGTTTTCAAGTGAGAACTTTTCCCTACAGAGAAGGTAACTGAGACATAGGCTACCCTCAGGGAACTCACACCATAAAACGCAGAAAACAGAGAACAAGCACAACTGTGAGAGGCTGTAGGAAGAACCCTACACCCTCAACACTTTATTAAGACCTTATTGCTTAAGTAGTTAGACACTGATCAGCTATGAACGTTTTCTGTACCTGGTCCCTGGTTACTCTGCAGAGCCTTCCGTGGCTGTTGGGAGGTGGAATACCTCTAGGAGGGGGAACGAGTGGGAAAAACAGTACCTCCTAGGTGTCTTAGAGGTCAAGTGGGCTTCAGCGGGGCCCTTGAGTTAGCACAGGGGTCAGGAGTGTAGGTTTAAGCCAGGGCCCAGGGGCAACGTTTCCTGAGATGAACAAACCCCAGCCCCCTCTGACCTTTCCAGAATAATGGCTGGGAAAGAGGAGCAGCACTGTGGAGAGGGCAAACTAAGAATCCCTTATGTGGATACCATGCTGGGCCAGAGCAGCCAGCACCAAGCTTCAGGGCAGGGGTCTTCAGGAGTGACCACAGCAGGCAAGAAGAGCAAACTTAAGTAGCCATGTGCATGCAGGACGAGGCAGGGTTCCTCAAGGACAGGATGCCCGGGCTTGGGTTTGGAGCTCCCAGTTCTTTAGTATGAAGGAATATAGGGGTGTGGTTAGGCGCTTCCTTAACCAAGCCCACTCTTTATACCTCCTAGGGGTAACGCTCACCTCCCTGAACATCCAAAGGTCACAGCTACCTTAGTGTTTCTTACAAGGCACTTGTTACAGGGCTGCTGGGCAGGGTGTGGTGGTAAGATAGGAGGTGGTCTGGTGGTTGCATCTAATCTACACAGCCACAAGTGGGCGTGGGGGCGGCCAAGGCCTTAGGGGCTACTGTAGTACAAGCACACAGCCAGGCCAATGAGCAGCGTGGCCAGGAAGAAGATGGCTGTAAGCTGGAGCTGCAGCAGCACTGCTGAAAGCACAGCATTGACCACCAGGGAGCAGGACACGACGAAGAGGCGCGTGATGCTGCTGCCGTGCTTCATGACAGCAGACATGAGCAGTCCATTTACCGCCTGGTTCAGCACCACCAGCACTGCCCACCCAGAGAAACCCTCTAGGAAGCCCGGGCCGGGGCCACTGCCAGCATATAGCCCAAGGTTCAGGATCACCCCGAAAGTGTAGAGGAAGAGGTTCTGAAGAGCCAAGGGCAGCCGCTGTCGCTTCATGATCAGCTCTGTGTACACCGAGGACAAGCCGGAGATGAGGCAGTATAAGAGGAGGAGCAGAAGTCCCAGGGGAGTGATATGCAAGGGCATGGCATGGGATCCGGCTGCTGACGAAGGTCCAGGAAGGGTGCTCACGGGTTCCTGAAAGCCACCCGACGCATAGCAGGCTCCTGCAGCCATCAGCAGCAGCAGTGCCAACCCCTGCCGTGCAGAGAGGCGACGCCCAAGGCAGAGGCAGTACAACAGAGCTGTGCTTCCAATCTTGAGATTGCTCAGCACCTGGTAGGTGCTGGGGTCCATGTAACGCTGCAGATAGATCACCAGGTTGTTGTTGGCGCCATAGAGCAGGGCTGACAGGGCAAAAGGGGCAGCCTGGCGCCAGGGTGCTGTGCCCTGGGGCCATGTCTGCCAGCCCATCAGGAGGGAGAAGGCGCACAGCAGTAGTTTGGTCAGCTCAGTGAGCAACACAGCTGAGGAGGGCCGGAAGGGCACTCGGCCATCCACATGGCACAGGGCTAGGAATGGTGCATGGGCACCATACATGGCAGTGGACAGGAATAGCATCAGGGTCCAGCGAGCCCGTCTTGGACGGGCTAGGCCTGGCACACCCCCATCTTCTACACTCATGGCCTACACCAGACCCTGGGTGGCCTGTGTAGCTAGCAAGCGACAGAGGGACAGGGAGGCATCTGAAGGAAATCGAGTGCAGAATGGTGGTGCATCACCAGAGAGAATACTGAACGTCAGGGTCAGGTGCACGCTCCACAGTTAGGGCTTGAACCCATAGTTTTGGGGTTAGTCCCATGGAACTAGGGGGGGAAGGAGTGCAGGGTGCAGGCTGACCAAGCACTGTCCACTCTCCGCAGGAGGACAAACAAGGATGAAAGAGACAGGTCAGCTGGAGACAGCAAATGAACAATGGCAGGGGAAGCCAGACAGAGTGCCTGTGATAGAAAGGCCTCTACCTGCAGGCCCAACACGCCCATCCTGCCTTCCCCAAAGGGTCTAGTCGGGCCCCTTTCGTAGTGACCTAAAGTAGTTCTTCAGGGTCTTCTCCACGTTGGGTACAGCATATGACTGAGCTACATAGATGCCAGTGCAAGTCCCCACTGCGAAGCCCAATACTGCGGATGCCCTCAGTTTGGCTACCACATAGCCTGCCAGGAATCCCTTGAGGAACGGGGAGGACAAGAGCGAGCCATCCTGCAGGGAAAAACACAGAAGGAAATCAGGTGTGCTCTCCTCTTTAAGCTGGGCTTAGTTAGAGCATTCGACTGTTGCCCGTCTTCACTGCCGACAGCTACGCTCTTTTCTCCAAGGATATCTCAAAATTCTGGAGCCAGAAAAAGAATATCAGAGACCCAAGCACACAATACCAGACTCCGAGAGGGGTCTACCCAGAATGCCATTCACCTAGAATGCAAGAGAGGCTTCTGAGGAACCCGAGTCCTGCCTGTTCCTCCAGTTCCATTTCCCAGCATGGTCGCTGATGACACAAACTACCCTTCTCCTGCTTCATGTTCACCATGCTGCTCATCACCAAGGTTTGTCTGTGCTGTACCTGGAATGCCCCCACCCCAACCTCACCTATTGAACACCTATTTAAGATCTCAGCTTAAGTGCTATTTTTTCCCTCCCCTGCTGGTTTTGAGATAGGCTCTCTTGTGTGTAGCACTGGCTGGCCTACAATCCTCTATGTAGTCCAGGTTGGCCTTGAACTTGCCTGCACCACAATGCCCAGTTCCAGTTTTTTTTTCTCAGGGAGACTTTCATTGAGCCCTCAATGTCCATTCGCTAAACTAAAATTCTACGTGCTATTCAACATTCCCAAGAGCAACTGGGCCCTTACCTGGCTCACGCCACTGTGGACTTCATCCTCCACACGCTGCTGGAGGCGCTCCAGCTGGTTTTTGAGAAATGTCAGGTCCTTAAGCTTTGGCAGAGAATCCTAGGACAAGGGAGAGGCTGGCTCCAGCAGACTTGACCCAGTCCCATGCCCTGCTCAATTTTATCAGAAGCTAGGAACTAGGTGAGCTGTGGGAGGGATGATGGGAAGAACCAAATAAATCTCTTCCTACAACACCTTCCTGAGGCAGCAGTGATGAAGGAAGGCAGACACTGAAAAGCAAAACACTCCCGTGGGGGCCGGGTGGTGACAGATGGAACGTGCATGAGGAACTTATAATGACTTCCACAGAATCTCAGGGCAGAGGCACTTCTATTTAGCTTTAGGAAGGAAACACTATTGGCTGAAGTTCAAGCTTGCTGAAAATGGCCATTAGCCTGCTTTCGTTGCTGTGTCCCAGTACCTGACAGAGAAACTGGCAGGCTAGGAATAAATCTGTGGGTGATGCTGGGCTTCTGGACCAGCTGGGAATAAAATAACAGGTTGAAGCAGTTTCCCGTACAATTCGAGGCTAACCTGCTATCTGCTCAGGTCATTTCATACTGAATGAGAATACACGAATATGTGGCGAACATGTGTCAGCAGGAGGGTGGCTACAAGACTCGGTCTGGTGGCAAGTCCGTAGGAAGCAGGAAGCGTTTGAGTGAGGGCGGTGGTAAGGGTGGAATGGAAATGCTGTCTCTGTAAGGGAGACTTCAGGGGCGAGGAAACGGCCCGAATGAGCACTGCTACATAGTGAATATATTTGAATGTGTGCTCCGAATTAGGCACCGTGTCAGTCCCGGGAAGAGCAGCTTTTCGCCTAAAGCCCCCTACTGTTTAGGCAGTTGACAGGAACCCAGGGGAAAAACAAGAATTATCTCCGTCGTTTCTGCTCAAATCTATAAAGGTTAAGGAATTTGAAAACCACGCCGACCGAAGCACCCGTGGATTTCAACTCACCTTGTCATCCGCCATCTTCCCCGCCGAACTTGTTGCGCATGCGCAGCCCCGCCTCCGTGTGTCAGAGGTTACCTCCAACTCTACTGAGGGTAGAGGCACTTCCGGGGCATTTCGGTAAAAGGCGTGGCGTTTTTTCCCTATTACTCTAGGCTGTGCTCAGGCACGGCCACTGGATCCCTCCCGTCTGGTCCTGGGCCGTGTACGCGGGCGGGCAAAGGTCGGGACGTGATGATCTCATGCTCCACGCGATGATGTCATCCGCGCCCTGGTGCACACAGGACACGTTCTCGCCGGTCCTCCGCCGTCCGAGGAACTCCTAGTTGCCTACGGGTGCGGGGTTCATAGTGTCGGTGCACTTCGTAGGGCACACGCACCGAGACGCGCGAGGACTCGGCGACCCGGACGCCGCGGCGCCTGCAGCTCAGGCCCGCCTCTGCCCTTCCCCAAGGCCGGCCCAATCTCGCCCCGTTGGCCCGGCGGTCTCCGGCGCAGAGGCTGGGCTAGGGGGCCCTGCAGCTCCGGAGGTCGCCGTGGGCTAAGAGCGCAGGCTGTCATAGGCTATGTTGGGCAAGGATTATATGCTGGCCATCATTCTGGTCAACTGCGATGGTGCGCACCGAGGGTCCGGTTGGGAGGACCAAAAGCTGAGGGGATTATTAGGGGTAAAGGAAGGCTACCCGAAGCTTAAACATGGGGTGGAGGTGGGTGGCATCTCGGGAACGAGAACCAGGGGATAAGGAAACACTGATCCTTGCATGTGCTGTCTTTACGACTGGGGAGTTGACGTCTAAGTTTAGGGCTGTCTCCTCTGGGATGGAGCGAGGGTTATGACAGAATCGTTGGGAACTCACGAGTAATGTGGCCCCTTGATTTAACCCCTTGTTCCTATAGATGACTTGTGGGGGGACCAAAATCTGGAGGGGGAGACAGGATTACCCCCTGGCTGGAGAAAGATCCGTGATGCTGCAGGCACTTATTATTGGCATGTACCCAGCGGCAGCACTCAGTGGCAGCGCCCAACCTGGGAACTAGGAGGTGCAGAGGACCCAGGAACGGTAGGTGGAACGTGGGGGGGGGGGGGTGTCTGAGCTCATGTGTGCACCTAGGCCTGCTGCTACACTGACTAATCTCTATTCCATAGAGGACGGAGGGGATTTGGGAACTGCGACCCCCCAAGGGGAGATCCTTCTCCAGCCTGGACAGTTCATTGAACCGGAGGTAACAGGGGTGGCCCAGGCCAAATGAAAGCCTTGTGGTTATCGTGGCACTCAAAAGAATGAAGCTGGACCCACAGTTTCCTGTTTTGTTTTTTTTTTTGTTTTGTTTTATTTATTTTTTTTTTTTTTGAGACGGTCTCAGATTTCACTGTGTATGTAGCCATAACTGACCTGGAACTCACACAGTAGATACCGTGCCTGTCTTCACAATTTGCTTTTAAACTGTAGTTCTGGACTCTGGGGCTCTATTTGTGCTTGGCTTTTCCATGTTCTTGACGGTTGTGTATTTTGATTTTTGTCTGTTGCAAGTCCTTATCATTAGGTCTATGTTTTGTGTCCTCTGTCCTGACCCATCATGTTCTAGTGGACTCCATCCGTTCGCTTCAGTTTTTTGGGGGTGGGTGGGAGGATTCCTATTTTGTGTTCTACAGTCTCTTGTTCTAGTTTGAGGCTTTTGTCCACACTTTTAATTCATATCCGTATTTATTTTAGTTTATGCCTGTGTCTTGTGTACTGGGTTTCTTCAAATTTTGAACTGTACTTGGTTAACCATATTCTGGGGCCTGCTTTTTCTGGGTTTGCATTTGTGGTGCTATATTTTGGGTCTTGTCCCAGATTCTGTGCTGGATCAAGTAGGCTAGGTTTCACTATTGGCCCTAACGTAGGAATCCTAATCCTTTTACTGGCTGTCATTTGTTCCAGTAACTCTCTGACATGGTATGGTGAAGATTCCTATGTCCGGAGCCTGGAGCCAGGAGCTAAGGTAGTGATTGAAGCTGATGGCCAGTTTCAAGGGAAAGATCAGGGGTTGAATTATTCAATGAGTGGGTTGATTAAGTATAAAGAATAGGACGACCGGAGTTGATGTGGATGGGTCCTGTGTCACCCGTCATGCCACTCCACAGCTTGTCACTTCTTTTTCCCCATCTTGTCAGTGCTTTGCAGTCCGCTCTCTGGGCTGGGTAGAGGTGCCTGAGGAGGACCTGGCACCAGGGAAGAGTAGTATTGCTGTCAATAACTGTATCCAGCAGCTGGCCCAGACTCGCAACCGGAGCCAGCCCCATGATGGTGCCTGGGGTGAGGTGAGTTGTCTGATTTCTTCAGGGGTTCACCTTATGGCTCAGCGGAGGTAGGTTTTCCGTAAATTGCTTGTTTGCCATGTTAGCCACCTTCATCTGCCAACACTCTGTCCTTGGCAGGGCCAGAACATGTTGATGATCCTGAAGAAAGATGCCATGAGCCTGGTGAATCCCCTGGACCACAGTTTGATCCATTGTCAGCCTCTGGTTCACATCCGTGTCTGGGGTGTGGGCAGCTCCAAGGGCCGGTGAGGACTTCTGTGTTCCCCCGAGCAAGAATTGCATCACCCTTCCCCCTTGCAGGCTGCCATCCCCACTGATGCTGAACCCTTGGACACAGATCTCTGATGTGGACCCAGCATGACCTTCCCTGCCTGGTTCAGTCCTGGTTGGGGTGGGTGGGCCCATGGGCCCAGCACAGCAGGGACAGATGGGGGAGAGGCTGAGAGGCTGGGCTGATTTTATCCTGTGCTCCCACATGCTTCTGGAACAGTGACAGGTATGTGACAACTAGATACTCTGAGCCCTGTCCCTGGCTTCCCCATTCCAACTGTGCCATATCTTTAGCTTAACTTTAGAAGTTTCTTATAGGCACTTAGAAGCCCCTGGCCTAAATAGTCTTATCCCTGCCCTTGCTAGGGACTTTGCCTTTGTTGCGGGTGACAAAGACAGCTGTATGCTCAAGTGTCATGTGTTTCGCTGTGATGTGCCTGCAAAGGCCATTGCAAGTGCTCTACAGGGGCTCTGTGCACAGGTGAGGGCCAGTGGTGGCCAGGGAATATGGAGTTGGGTTAGGGTGGGCTTGGCTTTCTGTGTACCTCATGCTGGCTGTGCTGTATTTTAGATCTTGTCGGAGAGGGTAGGAGTCAGTGGAGAAGCTGCTTGCTGTTCCCCAGATCCTATTTCCCCTGAAGACTTACCAAGGCAAGGTATGGGGAAGGGCTCGCTGCATTGCAACATCAGGCTGCTTTAGTGAGAGATGGAGGTGGTACGGGGGTGGGGTTCCTGGTGAGTTGGCTTCTTCCTGGAGAGTCTAGATCCAAGAATCCAAAGCAGTGAATTGAAGGTGCATCTACAGGCTCTCCTTTACTAGCCTCAGCTCTAGCTTGAGTCCTGGCATATTCATTAGGGTGCGGAAGTGAGGCATGGGGAGGCATGGTGTAATCCTAGCACTTGGAAGGCAGAGATAGGAAGACTGTCACAAGTTCCAGGCCAGCCAGAGCTGGTTACATAGTAAAACTTACACATAGTGGTGTAGTCCACAGCAAGGGAAGGGGCAACTGAGTTTCTGTGCTAGATTGGTGCTTGATATGATATGTGTTTCAGTGGAGTTGCTGGATGCAGTGAGCCAGGCTGCTCAGAAATACGAGGCACTGTACATGGGGACCCTACCAGTCAACAAAGCCATGGGTAAGGACTAAGGGGACTGATGGCTCCGGTGTGTTAGGAAAGAGAGTATGGGTGAGGTGAGAGCTACATTGTATTGAGTCTTAGAGTTTTTGCATTACCTTATATAATTTGGGATATACCCATTCTTCCAACTCAGAATTCCAAGCTCAGCCCCAGCTCTTCTTTTCCCATCTTTCTGAATCCCAAGTTAATGAAAGGGTCCTAGAAACTCTCTGTACACCCTTTCTATCCAAGCCAGACAGCACAGTAGGCATGTCTCCTCAGGTATGGATGTGCTGAATGAGGCCATTGGTACCCTCACTGCCCGCGGGGACCAGAAAACCTGGGTTCCTGCTATGCTCAGTGTGTCTGACTCTCTGATGACTGCGCATTCCATTCAGGTACCGCGGGAGGGTGAAGTTTGGGGCTTTGGAGGGTAAGCAGGCATGTTGAGGTGGGGGTGTGTGTCTTTACTGGAAGTATTGGGTCTGGCAATTGCTTAACTATGTAGTGATTAGGCTTTGTGTGGGCAGGCAGAGGCTAGTGCAGAGGAAGAACCATTGTGGCAGTGCCCTGTGCGTCTTGTGACCTTTATTGGTGTTGGCCGTGATCCACACACCTTTGGCCTCATCGCTGACCTTGGTTGTCAGAGATTCCAGTGTGCAGCCTTCTGGTGCCAGCCTCATGCTGGGGGACTTTCTGAAGCTGTGCAAGCTGCCTGTATGGTGAGTTAGGGATGGAGTGGGAATAGGAGAGGTTTTCCTTGTAGCCACTCTGTATTATGGAATGGGTTCAAGATGGGCAGCTCCACTTAAATCACAACCCAGTGATCCCAGGGCCAAATTTGGTTCACAAGCATATCTGGCTCTTAATGCTGTTTTTGCTAAGTTTTGTGTTGGTTACCAACATTTAATAATCTAGGGCATTTTGTATAATAATTGCTATTTCTGATTTTTTTTTTTTTGGTTTTTCAAGACAGGGTTTCTGTGTGTCGCTTTGTTGCCTGCCCTGGAACTAGCTCTTGTAGTCCAGGCTGGCCTTGAACTCACAGAGATCCTCCTGCCTCTGCCTCTTGAGTGCTGGGATTAAAGGCGTGTGCCACCACCATCTGGCTTATTTCTGATTTCTTAAAGTATGGGGAATACTAATACCATGTACACACATATACAAACACTCATGGACACACTTTCCTTAAAAGTTTCAGCATGCAAGTGAAGGTGTGCTATACAAAGTGGGCACCATTACTGATTTTTTTTTGTTTGTTTTTCGAGACAGGGTTTCTCTGTGGTTTTGGAGCCTGTCCTGGAACTAGCTCTTGTAGACCAGGCTGGTCTCGAACTCACAGAGATCCGCCTGCCTCTGCCTCCCGAGTGCTGGGATTAAAGGCGTGTGCCACCACCGCCCGGCACCATTACTGATTTAATATACTTCTTGGTGTATGTGGGTGTTTGAATGAAGGATGCTTAAGCTACATTAATTCAGTTCACTTGTTCATTCAACAAATGAGTATCTACAGGGTCCAACCAATGTAATTAATCCTAAAAAGTCATTGCTATAGAAGGCATATATAGCCTTTGCCATCACAGAATGAAGCAGAAACACATCAGAAGCAAGTTACATTACCGCATGATGGAGATGCTTCCTCACCTGTAGGGGGAAAAGAAAAGACACCCAAAGAAGTGTGCCAGGTGAAGAGACAGGGCAGATATACCAGAGAAACTCAGGAATGGACGTGAGAGACGTGTTTAGTGGGTTAGAGTCCCTGAGAAATGTGGTGTGCGTGGCCTGCAAGAGGATGCAGTGATAGCACAACAAGAATGACAGAGCAGATCGTGAAAACCTTAGATTAGTCTGGGCCACTGAAGACAGTAAAGTGAGATCTGCAGATTTTACCCACTTACGCTGCAGTGCAGGTACACAAGAGGAGGTAGGAAGGCTGAGTAATTAGTATCTGCTTGGAGTAATTTAAATAACTAAGAGTTTGATTGGGACAGTTATTTTGGGGATGGGTTGGGTTTGTAGACTTTCTCTTCACTAGAGGGTCTGTTTTGCCAGATACTGTTACAGAACACTGAGAGATGGAGGATAGTCTCTTGTGGTAGGTGTAGTTAAGAGTGCAAGCTTTGACCAGGTGGTGGTGGCACACAACTTTAATCCCAGCACTTGGGAGGCAGAGACAGGAGGATGTTTGTGAGTTCGAGGCCAGCCTGGTCTACAAGAGCTAGTTCCAGGACATCAACCAAAGCTACACAGAGAAACCTTATCTCGGGGGGAAAAAAAGGAGTGTAAACTTTGGCTAGATAGTTGGTATTGCATGCCTTTTTAATCCCAGCACTCAAGAGGCAAGAGGCAGGTGAATCTCTGAGTTTTGAGGCCAGCCTGGTCTACAGAGTGAGTTCCAGGATAGCCAAGGCTGCAGAGAAACCATGTCTCATAAAAAACAAGATCAACCAACCAAAAAAACACAAAAAAATGCAAGCTTTGCAGCTTGACAGACTTACATTTGAATGCCAGATATAACATTTTCTGTTTGTGCGACCCTAGACCAGTGGTTCTCAATCTTCCTCATGCGACAGTCTTTTAATATAGTTCCTCATGTTGTGGTGACCCCCCCAACCATAAAGTGATTTTGTTGCTACTTCATAACTAATTTTGCTACTGCTATGAATCGTTATGTAAATATTATTTTAAATGTAAATAAAATCTGTTATGCAGGACATCTGGTATGTGATCCCCCACAGGTTGAGAACCACTGCCTTAGACAAGTCATTTATCTCTGAACCTTGGTATCTTCATTTGCAAGATGAGTAAAGCAACACCTCATGAATAACTTAGGTTAAATTAAATTATCACACAAAGCACGTAACATAGTGTCTAGCTTTCCTTAAGTACTCAGTAAATGTTGAGCTTTATGTTTTTGTTTTTGAGCTACATGGGAATGCTGGACAGAATTCTTGGCCAGTTACCTGCCTTACAGAAGCTTTCAGGTGTCCAAGGGCAGAAAACTGGATGTTCACATACTCCCCTTCTTCCTAGGTTCAATACCAGAAGTGTCTGGTGGCCTCAGCAGCTCGGGGTAAGGCCTGGAGTGTCCAGGCCCGTGCCCGCCTTCGGCTCAAGCGGACCAGTTCCATGGACTCCCCTGGTGGCCCCTTGCCTCCCCCACTACTCAAAGGAGGGGTTGGTGGTGCTGGGGCAGCTCCTCGAAAGCGGGGCGTCTTCTCATTTCTTGATGCCTTCAGGCTAAAACCTTCTCTTCTCCATATGTCCTAAACTGATCTTAGAGGGTTGGGGAAGGAGGCTTTACACTCCTCCAGTTCCCAGGGTTCTGTAGCCTCTCACCTTCCTGCCTATCCCCGATCCTTGCCTACCCTCTATTTATTACCAAGTTTCTTGTTAATATGGATGACTGAGAGGCCCTGCACTATAACTTAGGCCCCTGGCACCCTTTTCCTTGGGTCCTTTTGTTCCTTGCCCCTGTCCAACCCTGGACAATTGGCTCTACCTCAGCAACTTTATAGCAGAATCAGCGCAAATAAAAATCCCTCAGTGACCTCACTAGTTGTGAGTATATTAGACGTGGGATAAGGTTGGGGACCATCAGCTTGTGTGAGGTGGGTATGTATGCTTGGTGTTGTTGACTGCCTTTAGTCACACGGGGCATGGTGCATATTGGAAATGTGACTGCATTCATTCAGCAAACAATTTACGAGATTTTCTGTGCCAGATATTAAAGTAGGCCTATTAGGATTCCTTCTGAGACTTTCTGAGGTGAAACAACCAAATAGGTAAGCAGAAGATACCAGGAACTACCAGAGGGTTGTGGGAGCTCAGCTGAGACTTGTCCAAGGCATTTCAGAAGACTTCTGAAGAGTCGACATATTTGTGTATTGAAGAAGTTCTTCTTAGTGAGCCTAGAGAAAATAAAAATTGTGCAGGCAGTCTATTGATAAGCGAGCTTCCAGAGGTTGATGTGATTAGATCCAGCAGGTACTTCTGGTGAATTTGCGCCTGAGAGCAAACTAGGAGATGTTAGAAAAACCTACCTGTTTGGTGCTCCTTGACAAAGTCTCCATCCAGATCATCTTTTTTTGTTTGGTTTTTCGAGACAGCGTTTCTCTGTAGCTTTGGAGCCTGTCCTGGAACTAGCTCTTGTAGTAAACTAGCTCTTGTAGACCAGGCCAGCCTGCCTCTGCCACCGCCTGGCTCAGCCAGTTGTCTTTTAAGGAATTGGTGCCTGCTCTCTAGGCAGCCCCTCAAGTACCACCAGGCAACTAGCTGGACTGAGTGAGTAAGCTACCGCCCCGGAAATGACGCGCTGCCCCGCTGGCACTGGCGGCGCGGAAGTAGCGATGGCGGAGCTTTACGTGAAGCCGGGTGAGCAAGCTGGGTGGGCTGGCTGTGGGTACTCGGCCCGAACTCTGACTCCCCCTGACCCCAAAGTAACCTCCGTTGGGTGCCCGGTCACCTTTCACACACTTCCTTGCCTTCGCAGGCAACAAGGAACGCGGCTGGAACGACCCTCCGCAGTTCTCTTATGGGCTGCAGACTCAGACTGGTGGACCCAAACGCACGCCCCTTACTAAGAGGGTCGCGGCCCCGCAGGATGGATCCCCTAGAGGTGTGTAAGGGCCGTGGGCGGAATCCTGTACGGAAAGATGGTGTCCGTGATAAACCTGTCCCATCGACCTGTTTCCTCTCCCAAGGGAGAGGAGTGGGCTTGGGAGCCAGTAAGAGGCTCAGCGCAGGCGCTTTTCGAGCCTGTTTTTTCTGCTGCCCTGGTCAGTAAATGGTATGTTGGACAAAAGGACTACGCTCACTCAGACTGTTTTCAGATATTCCTTGCCCAGATCTCTTCCCACGATCCTACTATGATCTTTGTGTTATAAACTTCTCAGACTTTGTATTACTTACTCATTTGCTTAATTAGTATTTACTGAGTACTTGTCAAGCTAGAGCCAGGAACAGTTTGAGTGCAAACTAAAACATAGTGAACAAGCTAAAAGGTCTTGGTGGGGACTCTGCAGAGAAGCACGTTTCCAGGTAACCTGTCCTGGGGGCTATTTAAGTAAACACGGAAATGTGACTAAAAGGTGCAAAAGTATTTCAAGCACAATAAACAGGTAAGTGCAAACTCTCTGAGAGGAGAACAACTTTGCCAGGTTCAGAAACTGAAGTAGAGTGCTTCAAAAAAGATTTTTTTTTTTTTAAATGGAGTGTTGCAAGATAGGTTTGCAGGTGGTGGTATGCTATATTTGATAAGAAAAAGAAATTTAAGGGGTTTTGAAAGCAAACAGTAAAGTCCATCTGTACGTTCATCATGGGATGACAGAGTAAAGGCCAAGAAGTGATCATAATGGAGAAAAGAAATAGGCATAGGAGGGAAGCCTAAAGAAGGGCTGGACTACAAAGTACGAGTGGAGAGATGCCCTCCACTTACTCCAACAGGAGCAAGGACTTTTTGCGGAAGGAAGGTGGCCCCAACGGGTAGATTAAAAGGACCAGTGGAGAGTTCCTGAGCTGGGCATGGTGGTGTATGTCTATGGTCTCAGTATTCAGAAAGCCTAGGCAAGAGGAGTGCCACAAGTTTGATGCCCGCCTGTGCTAGAGTGTAACCCTGTCTCAAACAGCAAAAAAAAAAAAAATCCCACTTGATGGCTTTATCAGTGAAATAAGGCATGGCCAGAAATAGGAAAAGGAAGTATTTACAGAAAGTGAAGTTTACAGATGTGAAAATGCTTATTTTTTTTGGTTTCTTGAGACAGGGTTTCCCAGTAGCTATGGAGCCAGTCCTGGAGCTGTCTCTGTAAACCAAACTAGCCTCAAACTCAGAGATCTGCCTTCCTCTGCATTCTGAATGCTGGAATTAAAAGTTTGTGCCACCACTACCCTGCGAAAATGTTTTACTTTTTTTTTTATTGAGCTATACATTTTTCTCTACTCCCCTCCCGTCCTTCCCTTTCCCCTTCAAAAATGTTTATTTTTGAAGAGTAGAGAAATGCAGTTTTCTTTACCCTTTAAAAATCTGTCAGTGAAAAGTGTTCGATTATATGGGGGACTGGAGAAATGTCTCAGTGGTTAAGAGTACTTGCTGTCTAGAGGATTTGAGCTTGGTTCCCAACATGCTTTGGTTTAATCAATAAAATTGGGCAGTAAGAGGTAAGAGATGAAGAACTGTGTTCAGATTTCATAGTTGATTAAACATTGTGAACAAAGAGAAATGGGAATAAAATGATCATTGGAGGGTACTAAGCCTTGTTGCTTGATCCAGTTTGAACATTTCAGCCCCAACTTCAGAAACATCTGGACCACCTCCAGTGGGTCATCCACCTCCTTCAAGTAAGGCTTCAAGGCCTCCACCTATGGGGACTTGTCCTGCTACTGGTGTGGAACCCCCAACTTCCCCAGTCACTGAGTCTGAGGTTCCACTGGAAGATGTACTGCGACCTCTGGAACAGGCGTTGGAGGACTGCCGTGGCTACACAAAGGTAGGCCCTGGTACTTCCAGGAGTGGAAAGGACTTCTATCCAATGAAGTATGGTTCTTAAAAACAGCACTTCTGATGGGACCTTAAGGAATCTCTCAAAATTTTCCAGGGAAATGGACATCGATGTCAGAGGGATTCTCAGGACTTTTGAAGGACCATCTAGCAACAGAGGCTTTATGGGAATGAGTTGTATTTAACTCCTATTAGTGTTAATAAACCTATTTATTTTTGTAACTTGAGGCCATTCATAATGTACTCGGTTGTTTTTGTGCTGTCTGGGAGAGAAAGAGAAGCTTTGTATGAAGGTTTCTTCAGCCCTCTAGAGATAAAGGATTGAAGAAAGGGGATGCAGCGTGGTAGTACCACCTTTGGCCATGTTTTCCTTATTTGAACAGTAACCTTAAGATGAGTCTCTAAGGGGCTGAGGAGGCACTGAAAAGTTAAAATTCTTGTCATGTTTGTCTTTTGTCTTTGGAGGAGATCCATAGGTTTCATTTTATTTTTAGTGGGGGACTTCTATCCTTTGGGTAAAGGAATATGAACTCTAAAATGACCAAGAGTCAAACTCCTGAGCCAGAGAATTCACATAATGGCAGCACTGAGTTGGATCGGTTTCTGTCTCAGAAACAGGTGCATGACGATATCAGCCGACGCTTGGCACTGCTTCAGGAACAGTGGGCTGGAGGGAAGTTGTCAATACCTGTAAAGAAGAGGATGGTACTACTAGTGCAAGGTATGGGTGGGGTCATTTATCCTCCCATTGATGGCTGAACTGACAGGTGAAAAGGTTTTTACTTATTGGGAGGGAAGGAATGGAAAACATGAATATTACTTCCAAGTGCCAATATTACTTGCTCAAGCCCTGTCTCTCCTCAGAACTTTTACACCACCAGTGGGATGCAGCAGATGACATTCACCGCTCACTCATGGTTGACCATGTGACTGAGGTCAGTCAGTGGATGGTGGGAGTTAAAAGGTTAATTGCAGAAAAGAGGAGTCTGTCTTCAGAGGAGGCCAAAGAAGAGACATCTACAATGGCACCTGAGAACCAGACAGTACCAGGCTTCCAACAGTCTTCATAATCCTGGGGCCTCCCCAGACTCACTCAAATGATCTATGCCTCGGTGTGGAAGGCCTCTTCTCGCTTGGGTCCCATTACCACCAGGGAGACAATTGTGTTGGGCCTGACCAAAGATCCTACCTGGGCCACTTGCAAGATAACTTGTTACTCATAATATGTATATTTCAATAAAAATCTCAATGGTGGGAAGTGGGTAGGAAAGGTGAGCCATTCTGATGCCAGACTGGTTCTTTCTGGTGTCAGTTTCCCTGCTCCATGAATACTATTCCTTGTTCCATTCATCAAGAAGGGCCTTGCCGGGCATAGCCATATTGCTACCTGCTTTTCTCAAAATTAGACTGAAAAGCACATTTTTTTGTAACATAGCACAGTGTTGTTGGCTATTTTCATTTCAGCCTAAGAATAGACTCAAATAGCTAGAAACTTTCTGGTCAGTAGAGACCATGCCCTTTGCTGTATTCTTGGTGTATTGTTTTTACAATCAGTGATTGGGGTTGTTTCTGCTGTTTAAACTGAAGGAGAAAAAGACCAGATGCCTGCATTTCTTTTGGGTGTAGTAGCACACACTTATGGTCCTAATATTTGAGACTAGAGGCAGGAAGAGGAGTTCAAGGTTACCCTGCACTTATGTATTGAGTTTGAATCCACTTTAAGCTGTGTTGAGATTCTGTTTCAACAACAAAGATTAGATTACTGATATCTGAGGTCAAGATTATCTGGTTTACTAAACAGAGGCAAACAAAGGTTTACTAAATGAGGCAAACAAGGTGTTGCCTCATTTTTGTTTCAGTGTAAGCCCTAGTCCTTTTTGTTTTTGTTGAGACAGGGTTTCTCTGTGTAGCCACCAATAACCTGGAACTTGTTCTGTAAACCAGGCTGGCCTTGAACTCAGAGTTCTGTCTGCCTCTAAAATGCTGGGATTAAAGGTGTGTGCCACCATCACCAGGCTAGTCTTTTAGATTTATTTATGTATATGAGTGCTCTGTCCACATATATGCCTTCACACACAGAAGAGGGCATCAAATCCCATTATAGAAAGTTGTGAGATATTTTTGGTTGTTGGGACTTGAACTCAGGAGCAACCAGTGCTCTTAACTGCTGAGCTATTTCTCCAGCACCCTTCTCCCAATCTTTTCTAACACTTTTTTTTTTTAAAAAAAGAAATAGCTGGGACCAGAAATGTACTGGTGATTATGCTGAGAAGAAAGATGCAAGGTTTCCAGAATTGAACTGATTGGTACTTAAGAGATAGGAAGCAGAAGAAAAGGCAGGGGAGAAACTGAGGTGGGTGTTAGCTGAAACAGCATCTCTTCTAGGAGTGCACATTACAAATGGATGGGGGTTGGGGGCCCTCACTTCCTGGAAAGGCTCAGCTGTTGTGCTTTATGACCTAGCAACTCTAGCAGTTTTCTCTCACAGCCTGCCTCAAGCCCTAAATGCTGCAAGAAGGGGGCCATTGAGAGCTGGGAACAGACTTGGGCCTGCTGGGTCTCTCAGCTGTATAGCTGAGAGTTCAGCACTGAGAACACTGGAGTCATGGCATTTCGTTGAATGTTTACTAAGCAGCCAGAAGGTGACATATTCTGTTCCCCAGTGCCAGCTCTGAGGGCCAGGGTTTGGG